GGAATCCGTGCCTTCTGTTTCACAGCAAGGGTCTTCCCCTTATTGCACACCTGGGTTTCTAATGCTCCCCTGAAGTGATCACCATTCCTACAGCACCATGGGAACAATAAAGTCAGGTGCAAGGCTCTGGAAAACACACATGTGGGCTTCTCATCACTCTGCGAGAATAGGAAATGGTGAAATGTCTTTGGGGAGCCATGTAGCACTGTCCTAAATTAAAAATGCACCTGCCTTTTCACTTAGCGATGACGTATCTACAGAGATGCTCACACTATAATACACATACGTCACTGCGGCATTAATTTTAGCGGCAAAAAACCTGCAGACTCTTGGGGCACCTGGGTGGCTCAGTCAGTTGAGCGTCCAACTCTTGGTTTCAGCTCAGGTCATGATCTCAGGGTCATGAGATCGAGCCCTGCTTCTTGGGCTCCGCACTCAGCGTGCAGTCGGCTGGATATTCTCTCCCTCTGCCCCTCTCCCCACTCACTCTCTTTCTCTCTCAAATCATAAAAAAAAAAAATAAATCTTTTAAAAAAACCTGCACACTATTTAATATCATTTAAGTAAATAAATGAGACATTCCTGCTCCGGAGTAGGACGGAGCTGGAAGCAACAGCCCTACAGGTACAGTACAAAATGATGTCACCAGTACCCTGGTAAGCAAAGCAAGCTCCAAGCTGTGTACCCCGCAGGCCCCATCTGGGTGTGCCAATGTGATGAACAGAACATCTCCTAGGCTCCTCTGGGAACGGGTGGAGAGAGTCGTGGAGTGGAAAGACTCGGTCTTTCACCTTCTATGCTTCTACATTGTTCATATTTTGTTTGCTGGAAGGACGTATTTATACAATAATACATTTTCAAAGCACGGATTAGGAAGGCAGGTGTTCACTGTCAACTCCGGTCCCGCACAAGTGGTAAAAACCTGCCACATGGCCCTGATTTGTTCTTGTAAGAAAAACAGATCAGAAGTTCTGGAAGAGTTCCAACTTGGGCCTGCAGAAGCATGTCCTGGGCCTGCCTCCACACCTGCCCGGGTCTCTGGGGTGCCTGTCAGAGAGGACCCTGTTGGGCCCACCTGGTGACAACTGAGGACACACCCGTCTGTGGTACCCCCCAGCTCCAGGGCAGGGTTTGCTACTGATCTGTCGTGTGTCATTTGCTGGCCACAGCCTCCACGACCTCACTTGTCACTTCGCGCTGGGACATGGAGGACAATGGAGAGCTTACCCCCACACCACGCGGGACGTAGGCAGATAGAACGAAGCGCAGGACGAGCTGTGTGGTGCCAACACAGAGCTGCAAAGACGTGCTCATTTTCACAGGCTGCCCCCCTCCTGGTGGCTCTGGTTTAGAACAGCATTGCCCAACAGAACTGACTGTGCAGATGGAGATGTTCTTCCCTGCACTGTCCAAGGAAGGCCACCACTGGCCACAGGGGACTACGGAGCGGTTAGGGGAGAGGGTGTCATGTCGATGGGGAGGGTCAGAAATGTTCTGATCTTGGGCAGCATGTTCAAGATTTGGAAGAATCTGCTTAGACTGGACCCCTCTAAAAATGTAAGGGCTGGATGGATTAGATTTAACTTAAAAAGAAATCAAACCCTAGAAAATATCAAAGACAGCCAAAATTAATATGGATCAGCCTGGATGACAGGAGACCGGACGACACTCCGAATTTGCAATGAGAAAAATGAAAAGGCCTATACGGGGCACTTGGCCGCAAAAGCAACCGTGTGGGATCGTCAGACAGACCCAGAATGAAAAGCCAGCCACACAGGGTATCATGTGCAGCTGATAGTCTACCTAAAAGGTGAACTTCTTAATTCTTCAGCGGGGCCTAAGAGTCTACAGACATGGGGAAAAAACTGTCTTGTACTTTATTTTTCATTTTCCTGAGTGTGCACTGTGTGACCTCAGCCTTGTGTTCCTGTGGTTGGGGTGTAAAGCCATCTTCGAGTCCCTGCCGACTGCCTGGGGAGATGCAGGCCACTCTCGGTGCCAACACCACGAAGATCCTGAAATAGTCCGTGTGTTCAGAAATAGTGGAAATTCCCCCCCAGTGCAGTGCTTCTCCTGCTTTACCATGCAGATGAATCACCTGGGGAACTCGTTAAGATGGAGTCTGACTCAGTAGTTCTGGGTGGAGCCTGAGACTCTGCATTTCTGCCCCTCTCCACTCTGGAAGCCTTCAGTTGCTTGCAGGGATATTCCCGCCTCTCCAGCACATCCAATTTCTTTCCATGTTTCCAATTAGCCAGAAGCTGTGGAGACGGGAGGGTCTGAGGAACAAGTCCATGGACAGCATGGATTTTCCCAGTGGCTTATGGAATGGGGCTCACCCTTCTGTTGCGATGACGTCTCATACGTGGAGTTTCATGTTCCAGAATTAATCGGACTCATATTTAGCATTTGTGGCTATGATCTTGCAGCCATGACCGTGTTGCTGAATGGGAAGCAGGCCACTTTCTTTTCATGCAGTTATACCTCACATCCCATGTTCCTCCCTTGGCTCAAGAGGCTGCAGTCAGCCCTGGCCGCTTGCCTTTGACCTCCTTGTCTGCTAGCTGCAGGTGAGCTTCTGTTGTCTGTCCAGGGCCCGTCCACCCCCAGTTTCTCCAGGGTCCTGTGCACTCAACTCAAGGCACAACTTGGGCTGGGCTGGTCCAGAAACTGAGGGGCCTGGAGATGTGGGTCGCCTTGGCTAGTGGGGGGATGCTGCCTAATGACTAGGAGGAGATGCTGAGGGAGAGGATGCAGATCACTGGCATGGAACAGGTCAGGAAAGCAGTTCCTTCTCTGAATAGAGGAGACCCTGACTCGGGTCAGGGAGGGTTCTAGGACCATGAAGTTTGAACTGTGGGCACCAGAGAGCAAGAATCGAGGGCTGGTCACATGGGGCTATCTAAGGTAGTATTCAAATCAGTCAAATGTCAGTCAAATGCCAGGTTCAGGTGCACTGGCCACATTCCATAATATTTCATCTTTCTTATCCTGGCCCATGGTATTTCTTTTCTCTGTTCAAATTTTCTCTTATGCCAGCAAGCTGCCATGTGGGCTCACGCAGGTCAGAAAGTTAGGTCTTCCTCCAAACAAGGCTATTACCTGGAAATTAGTACCATTTGCCTTCCTTCCTAAAGTATCATCACATTGCTATTCCATGCCTTATTTCAGATGTCTAAAGCCAAACGCAGTAACAATGGCCATAGGACACAGGAAGCTCTATTCTGAACACACCTGATGCTTTACATAAAACAGGCCCGTTCTCTTGGGCGCCTGGGTGGCTCAGTCGTTAAGCGTCTGCCTTCAGCTCGGGTCATGATCCCAGGGTCCTGGGATCGAGTCCCACATCGGGCTCCCTGCTCGGCAGGAAGCCTGCTTCTCCCTTTCCCACTCTCCCTGCTTGTGTTCCCTCTCCCGCTGTCTCTCTCTGTTAAAAAATAAATAAAATCTTTAAAACAAAACAAAACAAAACAAAAACAGACCGGTTCTCAGTTCCATTCCTGTATTCATGTCTCAAGCACCCTGTCCCTGGGTCAAGTGGAACATCACTTTAAAGACAAGGCAGTGTGCCCTCCCTCCAGCCTGAGGAGGCAGACCGAGGCTGAACATTTGGATTTTCAAAGGGCTTTGAGAGGCTGACCCGACCCGTGTGGCCAGGTGGGTGGATCCTTGACCCCTGGCAGGAGCCTGAAGCTGCTCACACAGCACAGGGTCCCCTCACAAGGAACAGGGTACTGCCTGAGCAAATGCGCCCCCCAAAAGTTGGGGGAGGATGAAACCCGAGAAAAGTGAATGTAGCTTCACAAAGGGGTAAGAAAGGGAAACCCAGCTAAAAACACAGGGCCTTGTGCTACCCAGTACAGGCCCACACATTTCAGACCCCCCAAGATACCTCATTAAGACAAATGCAATTAATTTTCCAAATCAACTAATGACTAGTCAATTTTTTTTTTTTTTTTTTTAAGTAGGCTCCATGCCCAACATGGGGCTCAAACTCATGACCCTGAGATCAAGAGTCACATGGTCTACCGACTGAGCCAGCCAGGCGCCCCTAATCAAAGACCTGAAAAAAAAAAAAAAGAAAGAAAGAAAGAATAGAAAACATAAGACTACCGTAGCAAATGAATGATGAACATGAAACTGGAACTCACTGGCCCAATTTCTCTAGTAATATGCACGAAAAAGATAACAGAAAATTAATGTTTTGTATTATCTGACAAGTACCTAAAATGGCCCATAAAGTAACTGAGGTAGGCAAGAGGAAAAACCGGGGGTGGGGTGGGGATGGATGCCATTGCTCCTTAAAAAAACCCTACCATTATTCATTTAACAGACAGACAGACATGAGTACCAGGTGAGGTAAGCAACAGAACAGACTGGCAGAATGCAGTCAGGCTTCTAAGAAAGATCTGCCACGACACAGAAGTGTTCCAGACTGAGTGGTGGATGGAATTACTATTCCTAATTCTTCACCTCTCCTCATACCTACTCACACCTTTTCCAACCCCACGTGGCAGTCCATCCCACTGGAGAGAGTGGGCTTCCTGCCCCTTGACGCTGGCTCAGTCACATGACTTGCTCAGGCCAATAGAATGCTGGTTTCAAATGTGTCCTTTTATAGCTCTGCCATCACCATGAGAAGGGCTTCTGCCCTCCAGAATCTCTGAAGCCTCAGGCTGGAGCCCAGAAGGAACACGTGTGCAACAGACCGAGGCTCGGCCTGCAGCAAAGAGCCAAGCCAAACCCAGTTAAACTGCAGCGTGAGCCTCTCAGCAGAGACAACCCAGATCAGTCAACCTTCAGCCAATTCAACAGAAGCATGAACAAGAATAAATGACTGCTGGTGTAAGCTACCGAATTCTGGAATGTTTGTTATGCAGCTCTGTTGTGGCAACAGCTAACTGATACACACGGCTCTCCCAAACGGAATCCAAAAGCCACTGAAAGATACCTTTCCCCTCCAAGTTCACAGAGATATCAGAACGACTTACCAGGCTCACCTTTCTTCTTTGAACCAGACTTCTTCTTTGCAGGAGCCTCTTGCTTTGGTGCCTCTTGACTCTGGACCATATCTGCATTTTTGCCTTGGATAGGAGCTGACTCTGCCCTTTTACCCTGATTGGCAGATGCTTCCACCTTTTTGCCCTGGTTGGGGGACCCTTCTGACTTTTTGCCCTGGTTCGGGGTTCCCTCTGCCTTTTTGCCTTGATTGGGGGCCCCCTCTGCTTTTTTACCCTGGCTTGCAACACCCTCTGCCTTTGTGCCCTGATTAGCAACCGAATCTGCCTTTTTGCCCTGATTCTGGGCCCCCTCGGCTTTTTTGCCCTGATTCTGGGCCCCCTCTGTCTTTTTGCCTTGATTCTGGGCCCCCTCTGTCTTTTTGCCTTGATTCTGGGCCCCCTCTGTCTTTTTGCCCTGGTTGGGGGTCCCCTCTGCCTTTTTGCCCTGGTTGGGGGTCCCCTCTGCCTTTTTGCCCTGGTTTGGGGTTCCCTCCTTTTTTCCCTGGTTGGGGGCCCCCTCTGCCTTTTTACCCTGGTTGGGGGTCCCCTCTGCCTTTTTGCCCTGGTTTGGGGTTCCCTCCTTTTTTCCCTGGCTGGGAGCCCCCTCTGCCTTTTTGCCCTGGTTCTGGGCCCCCTCTGCCTTTTTGCCCTGGTTCTGGGCCCCCTCTGCCTTTTTGCCCTGGTTCTGGGCCCCCTCTGCCTTTTTGCCCTGGTTGGGGGTTCCCTCTGCCTTTTTGCTCTGGTTCTGAACCACTTCCACCTTTTTGCCCTGATTGAGGCTCCCCTCTGCCTTTCTGCCCTGGTTTGGGGTCCCCTCCTCTTTTTTGCCCTGGTTGGAGGCCCCCTCTGCCTTTTTGCCCTGATTCTGGGCCCCCTCTACTTTTTTGCCCTGGTTGGGAGCTCCCTCTGCCTTTTTGCCCTGGTTGGGGGCCCCGTCTGTCTTTTTGCCTTGGTTGGGGGCCACCTCTGCCTTTTTGCCCTGGTTTGGGGTTCCTTCTGCCTTTTTGCCCTGATTCTGGGCCCCCTCTGCCTTTCTGCCCTGGTTCGGGGCCACTTCTACCTTTCTGCCCTGGTTCGGGGCCACTTCTACCTTTCTGCCCTGATTCTGGGCTCCCTCTGCCTTTTTGCCTTGGTTAGGAGTCCCCTCTGCCTTTTTGCCCTGGTTGGGAGCCCCCTCTGCCTTTTTGCCCTGGTTGGGGGTTCCTTCTGCCTTTTTGCTCTGGTTCTGGGCTCCCTCTGACTTTTTGCCCTGGGCAGGGCCGGTGGCTGGGGTATTGGCCTTGGCACCCACTGGGGGCACAACCACCATAGGCACCTCCTTGGGAGCAGTTTCTAAGATGGCAGCCTTGGAGGCAAGAACTTGAATGGAATTCACTACAGAACTGACTGCTGGTTCCACCTTTGCCACTTTTTTCTCCTTTTTCTTTTTGTCCTTAGGGGAGGAGGCGAGCTTCTCTTGGGGCATGGCTGGTACCGTGGCTACAGGGGCAATGACCACGGGGGGCTGGACTGGAGTTGGAGCCACAGCCACTGCGGGTGCCCGCACTGGGTCTTTGAGAAGGATGGTCATGTTGGGGGCTGGCTCATGGTAAGGTATCTTCCCATTAGGTTTCTCTTCCTTTTTTTTGGTCTTTCCTTTCTTCTCCACCGTTTTCTCCTTCTTTTTCTTCTCCACTTTCTGGTGGTGAGTTTTTGCCATCTCCTTGCGCTGGTTGGCCAGGGCCTCTTCATAGGATGTCTCCTTCATGGAGAAGGTTGACACGAGGAAGATGCCGATGGCAGAAACGACCATGAATCCACCGAAGACCACAACCCCCAAAGTCTGAGTGTCGTAAATATCCATCCTGGCTTGCTTTCCTTTCACCTGCCAAATACATACATGTAGATTACTTTTTGCAGAAACTGCGGCATTTGACAGTTTCTATACTCATCCCTACCCCCAAAGTTAAGCTTTCACTAATTCTTCAGACTGATAAAATCAAAGAAGAAACAAAGTCCGGCAATCTCTGATGTCATACATTCCTTCCTGCCCCTCTTTAGAAGTGAGGCACTTTTTTTTTTTTTTTAAGATTTATTTATTTGAGAGAGAGAGCACGTGCTCATGGGGGGAGGGGGACAGAGAAACTTAAGCAGACTCCACGCAGAGTGCAGAGCCCAACGCGGGGCTCGATCTCAAGATCCTGAAGCCTCACGGGGGCTTGATTTCATGACCCCAAAATCACAAACCAAGCCAAAACCAAAAGTCAAATGCTTAACTGACTGTGCCACCCAGGCACCCCCCAGAAGTGAATTTTTATGAAAGATATGAGCAGACCCCATTAGTGCTAGGAGAGGAAGCAACAGAGGAATGGCAGAGTGCGGATCTGGACACATAATACCCTGGAGACTCAGAAGCCACAATCACAATTCAAGAGATTCTCCATTGCAGGGGTCAAAGATGCACATAAACACAAGACTGGGCCAGGAGTGAGATAATGGGGAGTGGTGAGGACTGTGGCAAGAATGCCCCAGTAAATTAGGGGGCGAGTGTCCCTCAGCCATAGCTGATTGTTGTAGAAATGTGAGTGCCATGTTGAGAGATCTTTCACTTTTTTGAATGAGGCTAGAATTTTTTTTTTCAAAGTGAAATCAACAGATTTTTTTAAAATACCATGTAAACCAAACCAAGTCCTTCTACAGGCTTTGAGCTGCATGCATTCTGGCCAGCAGGCCCCTGGCACACCACCTCGAACTCTGTTGTCTCCCTTCCTCAGTGCTCTGATAAACACAGTGACCCAGGGTCAGAGACAACCCTTCAGAATCCTGAAAAGTGATCAAAAATTTGTTGAAGGGGCGCCTGAGTGGCTCAGTTGGTTAAGCGACTGCCTTTGGCTCCGGTCATGATCCTGGAGTCCCAGGATCGAGTCCCGCATCGGGCTCCCTGCTCGGCAGGGAGTCTGCTTCTCCCTCTGACCACCCCCCCGCCCCATGTGCTCTCGCTCTCATTCTCTCTCTCAAATAAATAAATAAAATCTTTAAAAAAAATTTGTTGAGGAAAAAATGGCCTTCAGGATAGTTCTTAAAGAGCTGCAGAACTTGCGGGGCACCTGGGTGGCTCAGTCGGTTGAGGGTCGGACTCTTGATTTCAGATCAGGTCATGATCTTCAGGGTTGTGAGATCGAGCCCCAAGTCAGGCGGGCTCAGTGCTGGGCATGGAGCCTACTTAAGATTCCCTCTCCTGGGGCGCCTGGGTGGCTCAGTCAGTTAAGCATCTGCCTTCGGCTCAGGTCATGATCCTGGAGTCCCGGGATCAAGTCCCACATCGGGCTCCCTGCTCAGTGGGGAGTCTGCTTCTCCCTCTGACCCTCCCCTCTCTCATGCTCTCTCTCTCATTCTCTCTCTCTAATAAAAATCTTTAAAAAAATAATTAAAAAAAAGATTCCCTCTCCCTCTCCCAACCCCCTTCACAAAAAACAAAAACAAAACAAAAAAAAAGGTGGCAGAACTTGCAATTTGCAAGTTAGGAAACAGGAACTCTTGGAAAGTACACCAAATAAAAGACCCCAGGTTTGGAACTTCATGTCTGCAGGCTGCAAAGAGGGAGGGAAAATGGTGTCACCAGACCCAATCCTCACCCCAGGGAGGGAGCCCTTTGCCTGATGACACTCTCCAAACCAAGAGCATGAGCCACCTCTTCTCATTGCCTGTGGACCAGTGTCCACGGCTTCCTGGCTGCCAGCCCAGGCTGGGTCTGACTTCAGTGAGGAACCCCAAGAGGCTTACTTATTTGGATGCACTCATCTTTTATCAACTAACTTTGATGCTACTATCACATTCCCAGTCCCCTGAATAGATCCCAGGCCCCCTAAAGGGGAGCAGTGATGGAATTAGTGAACAAAATGCAAGTGTAAGGTGGCGGGTAAGCAAAGGTAGAAAGAGGGAGGAGGGAGCAGAAGGAGAAAGGTCAACAGGCCCCCTTCCTGGCATGACCCCTGCCCCCCAAATCTCTAGACCTTGGGGTAGGCCAGGTCCAGGCTTGTCAGTTGAGATTCTGCCTCCATTGGGAGTGGCGGAGGGCAAGAGAGTGGGGATTTCTCAAAAATCACAAAATCCAAATTCTGACAGTAGGGCATTTTAAAGGAAGGACCGAGAAGAGATTGTTTCAATTGTCTCAGCATTAGGTTCAAAGAAGAATCATTCTCATCACAGAACACACATGTAATTTCACTGTGGCTTTCTAAATAAGCCCCTTGCAGGAACAGGGTTTGAGGGGCTCATGACCAAAACTCCACAGCACACGCTCCCCCCACGGTAACCCCACCAGCTACAGCTCTATCATTTACTTCTCCCAGACTATCACCCTGGGTCTGCAGGACCAGGGGAACCTCATCACAGCTGTAACCTCCACGAATGAAGTGTGAGGTGGGCTCACGGAGTCTTTGAATCCTGGGCAAGTGGGTTCTGACCATGTGAGCCATAGCCAGGCGCCCTCAAGAGGGGTTGTCCCAAATTAGCCTTTCCAGGAACACACTCACAAACAAGGTATCAGAAAGGAAAGTGCACCCTGCTCAGCCCTGGAGGGAATCCAGTGGATGGAAGGGCAGGGACAAGAAGGCTTGGAACGTTCTACGGTCAGCTTCCATTTCTTGGTGGGCATCCACCAACTAAAACTCTGGGTCCTCACAAGGATCTCTCAAAACTTTGCCAACACGGACACATTCAGGTACAAACACTACATTATAATCACTGTATTAATCTATTCAGATGACAAAAGTCTTCTGACACACTCCCCTTTGTCCAAGGCAGCACGATGCCAGGGGCCTGGGTCACTCCATAAGACCCAAGTGGCTTCTCAACAACTGTAGTCTCAAGGGCCCGTGTCCCAGGGATCTGTAGCAGGGTCACCACGCCAACACAGCCACCAGGCTCCTACAAAGCAGGGACTGTCTCCCACTGAGCACTGTGGGATCGGGGCAGCCTTGTGGTGGAGGCAGAAAAGCCAGGGTTGAAAAAAATCGCCTTGAATCTTACTCAAGTTAGGCCAATATGGGATACAAAAATATATCCTCTGTTGGGAGCACAGGCTCAAGAAAAGCTAGCTGGGGAGAATATTTTTCCTCTGCCGCACACACAAATGTATGTTTGATGGCAGCACAATGTGACTTCCAAGTTTTGCAGAACGGGCTGCTCTAAAAAGAAATCCTATTCCCACCACTAATTCCTGAGTTAAGAATTTCTTTAAAAGAAATCTTTCACAGGAAAATGAAAAGCCCTAGCCTTGAGAAGTAATACACTGGAACACTTACGGCTAAGGCCGTATCACCGGCAATAGCAAGGAAAGCTAAGTGAAAGCCAGCCGTATTGCTGCTCTGCAGTTGGCCTGTGTGGGGCAGAAACATCATGTAGAGATCCCAGACTCACAGGGTGAGCCAGTGATGCCTCCCAAGTGTGCTCTCGACACCAGCATTCTGGGGACTTTGCTCCTGGAATCCCTGCTGTCATTGAAAGGACCCCCAGTAGGAATGTCCCCCTGGGGTTTCCCAAGGGCCAGGCCCAGGTGGGCAAAGAACTGGGCCAGATGTGTGACCATCCACATCTTGTACGGGCTGACCACAAAGAACCTACATTCTGTCGCTTCGGGAGACATCTATTAACTAGGTGCTTTTACTTACTATTGCTAGTACACTTAAGAGTATAGAGCAGAAAGGTCGAGGCCCCGGGAGGGAAGGAAGCAGGAGGCCACCCAGAGGCTCGGGGACCACTCCCAGGCTTAGCTGGCTGAAACTCACTGACCCACCTTGAGGGTCCTAAGAAAATGGTTTTTCTTCTGTTCCTAGCAGGTAAGGATTCAGGGAGCAAATATGAGTAGCAGTTCTTTAGACATGGCATACATCTAACTCGTGTGGCCCAACCTACACAGTCCAAATTGGCCACTTCAGGCCAATTTGGCATTTGGGATTTAGGTAGGTCTTGTGAAGAGACCCTCGACAGCACCCCCCCACCCCTGGGGCCAGCTCTCATCACTAAGCAGCTGCTCTGCTGTGGGCCACGTGCAGATGCACGAAGACGCATGGGCCAGGGGTGTGCTGGGCACATGTCCAAGGGAGCAAGTCTCTGGATGCACTTTCTGGGCACAGGTGACCAGCTAGGAAGGTACAAAACTAAAACAGAGTGACAATAATATATGTTAGGAAAAAAAAAGAAGAAGAAGAAGAAGATAGCAGGAGGGGAAGAATGAAGGGGAGTAAGTCGGAGGGGGAGACGAACCATTAGAGACGATGGACTCTGAGGAACAAACTGAGGGTTCTAGAGGGGAGGGGGGTGGGGGGGATGTGGTTAGCCTGGTGATGGGTATTGAGGAGGGCGCATTCTGTGTGGAGCACTGGGTGTTATGCACAAACAATGAATCATGGAACACTGCATCAAAAACTAATGATGTAATGTATGGTGGTTAACATAACAATAAAAAATTATTAAATTGTAAAAAAAAAAAAACAACAGAGTGACAATAAATCAGAGACCCTAGCAGATATGACCACATCAGACTACCATCTCCTAAGATGTTTTTGTTGTTATTTTTTTTTTTTAAAGAGAGGAGAGATTGAGAAGGGAGGGAGGGGCAGAGGGAGAGGGAGAGAGAGAATCCCAAGCAGGCTCCATGCCCAGTGCGGAGTCGGACGTGGGGCTCATCTCCCGACCCTGAGGTTATGACTTGAGCCAAAATCAAGAGTCAGACGCTTAACTGACTGAGACACCCAGGCACCCCCCATCTCCTATGGTTTTTAAATATTGTGAAAAATACTGTGATCATCCATTTCCTACCACCCCAGCTCTCGTGTCACAAGACTCTGAAGCAGTGCTGATGAGGGTCGGAGCGGGGCTGAC